TCCATTTTTATTCAGCGAGTGCCTGAAAATCCCTTTTATAAAGGGACGAATGTGTTAACTCACAGATGACACCATGGTTTTTAAAACACAGTGAAATGGAAGGAGCGGCAGAGGAAACCTGAAGCAAATTTATGTTACTTTGCTTCCAGTTCTTTTCTTTAAAAGAAATCATATTTCGCTTCACCATCTGGCATGGACCTCGCCCTTTGGGAAATGCGTTCATTCAAGAATATACACCGATTCACCATTGTCAGGAAAAAACTTCTCATAGTTTAACGGCCCCCGACATTTAAATACCTTATGTTGCACAAACAAGAGAATAATATATTTTACATTTTTAACAGTCCAAGGATAGCTAGGACACAACTTTACCAAACTCTTACATTAAGTTCACAAATATTTTCAATCATCGAGATTTAATTTCTGAGGGTCAGAAGTAGTTCACTAAAGTCAAAGAACAGCAGGGCTGAAAAGGAGAGAGCGCTCGTAAAAAAAAAAAACAACAGTCACAGCTGAAAATTATCAGTTAAAATATCATCACAGTGCAAATGATTCATTTCTTAACCCCAAAGGGCTAAAATTTTGATGCACAAGTAGCCAAGGAAGAAAACAAATTAAGGGTTCAAACATTTGCCTTAAGTGATCCACTTACTAACATTCTTGAAGTTTCTTTCATCTCCAAAACAAATATTGGTGGATTTAAAAAGGATTATTGACTTACTGGATGTATTAAATAACCGACGTGCATTAAAACCTTCCGCCACATCCTATATTCATGTGACCTAGACCCCAAGGACAGGAGAACAAGTCCAGGTTAACAACCTTTTGTATTCCGTTAGAACTGGTTAGGGCAAGGACTGTTGGATGTTAACTGCTAGCTCGCTTCCTCCTTGACTGCGCAAGCGTTACTTCCTTGAACAACCACACCCCTCCTCCCATCCGCCGGCCAGGACTGAGTCAGGGCCCTAGCACCTCCCCCACTTCTCTAGTACTGGGGACAGGAGTCTGTCTCTCCCACTTCCCTGTGAACTTCTCAAGCCTCGGACCCTCCCCAGGCCGCTCACATTAGCCCATGAAGTTCCCTGCCGATCTCAGAGAATTCCCACTTCCTTCCCCCCAGATGCACCTGCTGTCCACCTCTCCCTCCCCCCCATCGCTCCTGTGCCAACAAAGGAGCCCTCTGTCCAAGGCCAATCCCTCCACCTGTGTCTGGACGCTGAGCACCCGCTTCTCTCGAGCTCCCCCTTGCACCCTCTCCATCCGGTTAGCGTTCACTCGTGCACATGCTTAAGCCTCCCCACTGAACCGGATTCTCCCCCCGCCCCACTTTCTTCTCCTAACATCCTCTGTCCCCCCCACCATCTAATTTCTCAGAAGACTTGCCAACAAACACTATCTCCAATTCTCATCACCTACTCAACTGCCTTAAGTATTCTGCTATTCCTCCCACCACTCCGCCAACACGGCTCTAAGTCAAAGCCAACAACTTCCTGGTCCCTGAATCCAATGGAGTTTTCTTAAAGCTTCTCTTGACCAGAGCTGCCAGCACTGCACACTTCTGACCTCTCCCTATCTTCCTGACACAAGTCTTGGCTTTGGTTAACACTCCATGCCTGGCATTGTGACGCATTTTTTTGGCAATAATCTCAACTTCCGACACTTGTCTGCAAGTGGCACATGTATTCACTTAATAAATACTATGAATGAACGTGTCTTCGGCTCCTTCCAACCCCATTTTGCTACGTAGGTTATTTCAGAGATGAGAAAAATCAGTCCCACAGTCAGAAGTAATGTCGTCAAAGGTCCCACAGGAAGGGTCAACCCAGTGCACCTCTCAACTTTGAGACCCATGTTCCTTCTACCACTAACATCAAGCCAATGGTTAAAAATATTCAAGTGCCACATCTTAGAAAAAATGAAGACACTGCAGATATGTCTTATCTTAAAGAAACTCCAAGAGCCCAATGATACATAATACACCTTTGAACTTAAAAAAAATAAAAGGCTTATGGCTAACGTTAAGCATCTATTAGATTGTTCGTACTTCGCATTTCCAAGGCTCACAGTATCCTGGCAGCAGACATCCGGTGAAGACATTAGCTTCGGTAGTTGATCAACTGCTGTTATAAACAACATGTGTAAGTCATTTCTCTCCTTCTAAAGAAAAAGTCAGCAGCTGTTTGCTAAAGAATCTTTTTTTTTTTATTGTGGATGAAGACATGGCCAACTCACATATATCATTTTTATTTGGAGGGCTTTTTTTTTTCCCTGCCTTGCAGTGCTCCTGAGAAATTCAGATATGCATTGACTTTAGCTCTATAAAACACAACCCAATCTTATGGTTGGGTTGTAAATTTCCCATTAATTATTTCCCTAAAAATCAAAAGACAATGTACCAGTTTTGAGTACAGAAACCTTCATAGGTTAAAAAAAAAAGCAAACACTGGCAAATCATCACAAATGTCAGAACATTAAAAGTGCCGTTACTTTTTCCATAGGAATCATAAAGTAAATATCAAGTGTAACTGACTCGATCCTTAAACAAAATTAATTTTTTGGTGGAGGATGTTTTAGACACTTTGACATACGAAAAACTTCATTAGCTTTAGCAATCAAATTCAAATGCTTAAAAAGTTTGATGAATAGCACTTTCTCAATAAATTTCATCACTCCCCTGTCCCTGAAGAGTTTATTTTCCACCTACTGATGAAATAAGCGTTTTGAGAGTCTTTTCGCCCCTTTCGATTAACCATTAAAAGGTTTAAATGAACTGGAGGCTTTATTTGAGGGGGGAGGGGAATATTAAATATTTTAATTGGCTGATTGTAAGGAAGTTCTTTCTTTTCCTCATGTTTTTTGTTGTTTTTTCTTTTAAAGCAGTAATGGCTGGAACTAAAACTCGAACAACCATATGATACAGAATTGTACTAAAAATATCACGTTCAATGTCTGGCTGGATTTTCTATTACAGAATTGAAAGCCATTAGGAATGTTGTGAAAAACCGTGGCAGCGAAAGCAAAATTTAACCACAAAGTCCCCTACGTTTGCAGAGAAGTAAACAGGGAAATTACTGTAGTTAAAATATTGCAGTAAAGTTAGTTAGCAGGGCCCTATTGCTGACATTAGAATTATATGCTTCATCACTCTATGGCTACTAAAAAGGTTCCCTGAGCAGATGCAGATGGTCCATCTCTCACACAACTTCGTTTCAGAAAAGGATGAGTTGCGTCTGGTTTAGATCAACAAACACTTAGTGTGCATACCAGCAAGCCCTAGTTTCAACGATGACACAGCTGAAACATGAAGTACTGCAGCTCCGGTCCAAGGTCACGGACTTAATTGAATAGCAGCCACGTAAGGTCACGCAGTGACATTCAGATATGCAATTTACCCACAACAGCTTTCAAACTCATGTTAACCTATGGGGTGAAGGGGGAACAGGCTGTTTTGAGTAGGGAAAGAAATACTTAACGTGTCATGAAAGGCATTTAAAATATGACAACATGCTACTTAAATGTCCACTACTTAAATTTTCATTTACAAAATACAAGAAAAAAGTTTTGCATTTTCTACTTCTCCAAAATGAAGGATCATGTGTGTTTTTTATAAACTTAGACACTTTTATTTCAGATGCTCCACACTGAAATGAAACTTCAATGGCAAGCAGCAAATAACTTAGGGTGGTCAGTGGTAATGTCTTTGAAGGGACCATACAAAACCCAAGGGTCATAATTTCATAAGAGAAATACTAGGTAAAACAGACAAGAGGCAGTTTGACAGTTCTAATGTAGAACCGTAGGACCGGTACGACAACTTCCTGTAACACAGACCAAATAAAGAATGGTGATATAAATAAATTAGTGAAGGAGACATTAGTGATGTTGTGAAGCAGCAATGCCTCAGTTTCCACATTCTTCAGAAAAACCAGTTTCATCCATCAATACATAAAGATCTCCAATCTTCTAAATACAGTAGAAAGTATAGAGTCAGAGCAAAATTTACAGATAATTAAATCTACCCTGGCCAAAGCCAGGGCTATTTACATAGTTGGATTAGTACCATTTCACCTTTCCTTGTTATACAGATGGTTCTACTTTGAAGGCGTATTGAAATTTACAAAATTTCCAAGAAATGTCTTTAAATATACAACATCAACAACTAATACAAACGTGAACATCCTGATTAAGTCCCAAGTCAGGATTTTTCATGATGGGCTTATAAAAAATTAAAGAAATACTCCTTTATTTTCAAGTTCCCAACACCCGCTCTGGTGCTGAAGTAACTTGCCCGCGCCTGGCGACCCTGAGGGGAACGGACGGCTCCTGGACCGCCGAGGCCCTCACGGCAACGCCTGGACGGGGCGGGAGGGTCATGTTTAGTGATATTGCTACTTTAGTTTCATAAATGCAGCTGTATCATTTTACACTCAGATGCAGTGTGAGAAAACCATCAGCTTTAAGATGGTTCCCTGAAAAGATGCCTCAGCCCGCACAAGCAGAGCGGGTGCCGACAGCACCTGCCAGTGCCACTCGTGGGACCGTTCGATGGGTCTCGAGGGCGCTGGGCTGAGAAAGTCCATTTCAGAAGGTCACATCCTGTTTGATGCCATTTGCACAGCGCTCTGGAAACGACGACACCCCTGACACGGACGCGGCAGAGCACCGGGTGGTGGCCAGGGAAGGGGGCGGCTGTGACCACCGACGGGCAGCCCGAGGGGCCGCACGATGCCCCTGTGCCGTGCGGTGGGTCACGCGGGTCGCACCTGATGGAGCTGCACAGAGCCCGGTGCGCTCCCAGGGACGGCGCTGCGCTCTGCCCACGCACACCGGTCCCCTGAGGACGACTGGCACACTTCACGTCAGTTTCTGCACTTCGCAGATAAGCCACTGCTATTTTCTTTTTTTGGCAAATCTCTTGGTTATTTTTAAAAGACAAAGCACACAGGTTTCTACTAGCTTATATGAGTTTGAAAATCAGAGAAAAAAATTAAAAGTTGATATATAGCTACCAGTATTTTTCTCTTTTTATTTTTCTATTTTTGTTAAAATAAAAAAAATCAAATGCTTCTAGCTTAAATTGGGTCAAATCAGAGAAGGAAAAAACCAGTAATGTAGCAAACACTGCCTCCTGTGACACCTGCAATTTCTAAAAGTATTAAGACTATTTTTATTAAATTTGGAGAAAGTACAACTGCAGACAAATACATGACTGTTCTGAAAGGCCCCTTAGTGGTCAAGTGCACCCACGTCGTGTTCATCGTTTGTTTAAAGTGCAAGGTCTGTCGTTTCAGGCTTGAGAGCCACCTACTGCTTCAGAAGGTCCTTCAAGACGACCCCGGCACTGTTGTCAGGCGACACCGGCAAAGGCGTGAAAGTGGGCAGCACGTCCGAAATGGGCTTCAGAAGCAGGTGCCCAGGCCCGCGAGGCCCGAGCCCCGCGGGGTTCACCAGCGGCAGGGCCGCGGAGCGGGTCACCAGGAACGGGTTCACGTCCGCTCTTCTGCCAGACCGGGGTTCTGCCACATCTGGGTGACGAAACAGGAAAGATTTAGTCTGTTATTTCATCAGCACTACACATGTGTTTTGGGCTCCCAGATTTGGCCCCTAAGTAAATTTAATTCATATGCTGCTGGGTTCTGGGTCCAATAAGCAGGGTCTATGAAATACAGCAGGATGAAGGACAAGAGAAAGAACGGGAGAAAGAAGGGGGGAGAGAAGAATATCCGACTGAATACCACTTCATTAAGCACATTAATATTTCTGTTTTACAATTACATGCAAATCATAGAACTGATAAACTTCATTTACTACTGAAGGGCAACAAAAGTTTTGCTGTTTAGGACATTGATTTTTAAGCTGGTAATTAAGAAAAAATCCAGAAAGAGCCTGAGCGCCTGCCTCCCCATTTCCCCAGAGGCGCAGAGGCCTGGCCCTCACCCTAGCAGTCCCCCCGCGGGAGCCCGGTGAGTCGGCGGGCTCGGGCGGGGCCCGCCAGCCGGACGCCCCAAGTCTCGGCATGTCCGAGTGGCCAGCGAGGGTCTTCCACACATGCCCACTCCTCCTCGTCCCTGTGCCCCGCCCACCCTCACTCTGGAAATCTCAGACCCTGTGCCACGCCCTCTCTTTGGAATTTTCATGCTTACATGAACTCCCCAGACACACACATTAGAAATGTGATTTTCTCCTGTCAATCTGTCTCTGCTAATTTGACTGGCCCAGATAAAAGAACACAGAAGGTGAGAGGAAAGTTATTTCTTTTCTTAGCTCCCACACTATAGCCACTTTTTAAAAGTGTTTTCTAAGTGACGAGGCAAACTCTCTAACTACCCACCTGCAAGGAGAGGGACTTAGAACTAGGTTTTCCTCCAACACTGATGATGACAAGGAAAACAGCTGGCACCCATATTACAATGCCAACAATCAGGTTCATATTACCTTACCAAACAAAACAGCAAAAAATAAATGCTCTTTGTAAAACACTTATTACATCAGCTCAGCGCTTTTAACCTCCTGCACTCATGGCACATATATACTAATTACTGAAGTTCCACGGCACACCAAAAAAAATTTTTTTTGCCAAGATTCATTCACACTGGATGACTATCGCTGTGTCGATTGTTGTCCTTTCCTTGTCTGACAATCTCAGGGACAATGTTCGGTCAGTGTCCCTGACTGAATGGTCAGGGACGGCGCAGTTCAAAATTCTTGTGGTGCACAGGGTGGAAATCACTGCATGAACCAATCATCGTTCAGACATTTGGAGGTTTGAGAACAATTTTTGATCAGAGTACTTCTCTACAAAGCTAGGCTGAATGATCAGTTTTCACTGGAAAAAGTGTCTGGTTTAAGCCCAATGTCTCTCTGTACGGAGTTCTGCTTCAGCACCCAAGACAAGAGAAAGAACGGGACGTTCAACAGCGTTGTCCAACAACGCCATGGTAACTCGATGAGCAACCTCTGCGGCTGCTGAGGCTCAGTGGCTGCGTGTTGGACTGTGAACTGAAAGGTCGCTGGTCAGGGCACGTGCCTGGGTTGTGAACTGGTCCCTTCGTCGGGACACATATGAGAAGAAACCAATCAGTATCTCCCTCTCTTTCTCCCTCCCTCCTCTCTCTCTAAAAATAAAGTTTAAAAAAAAAAGAATTGTTTAAAAAAAGAGACAAGTGATCCCTTGAAGGGCCCACTTCAGCTGTGGGAAACTCAAATCAAAGACCTCTAAAGCAAAGAAAGCACGGAGACAAACTCAACACGTCTACATTTTGATGGTTCCCGAGCTGTACTTTCCCGGTACTTCCCAAACTTGGGGGACGCCTGTGTGCTGTTGAGTGAGCTCTGCCCGGCCACACACTTCCAAGTCCAGGATTAGAGAACTACTTTCTTCATGCAAACCTTGGACCAGCTCTGAATGACAGTGGCTTCCGTCTCTGACCAATACAGATCGAGGTGGACATGGGACTTGGTAATGCAGGGGAGAAAGGAGGGGGAGGCCCTGCCACAATGACCTTTGGAATCTTCCCTAAGATGCCACAACCCAGCGTAACAAGAAAAGCGTTTTTTATAGTCTATACCTGTTAAAGTTAAGACTTTTCACTAAATTTAGCATCCGAACCTTTTAACTAAACAACAAATTAATTTTACCATCTTCTCTTTCTATAAAAGTTCAGGAGAATATAACTATTTGTCTGAATGACTAAGTAAATTTTTTAGATTTCAGAATATAAATTATTTAAAATTGTATCTAAATTTAAGTATCTGACACGTGATACAAAACTGAAGAGTATGTACTAACATGTACTTCTACAGTCCAACTAGCAAACATGTTAGTCTGAGTTAAAACAGAGATTTCAGAAAAAGAGAGTTTACAATAAAGAAGCTGTTTACAGCCTAAAGCCTATACTTAAATTTCAACTCAAGAAACTTCACTGAATGCTGATATGGGGACATGAGTATAAATAAATAAGACTCTAGTGAACAGTGGGGTAGACAATTACGCGGCACGTATTTACCACCAAACCATGCGCTTTTGGCAGGTCTTCCGACGTTAAGGATGCTCCCCAATGCCCCCGGATGTCTAACCAGTGTGTCGAACTACTCCTGTAATAAATACTATTAACATGCTGAGGTTTGGGTACTGAGCTAACACTTAGTTTTCAGAGGGAAAAACACCTTTCCCTCACTGTAAACTACGCTTCCCTGATTAGCAACAAGCACCATCCGCAGGAAAGGAAAACAGGTAACCAAGCGAAGACTCACCACCTCACCACCTCTTCCGAGAAGGGTACCGGTAAGTCGGAGTGGCTCACACAGACAAAGAACAATTACGCCAACATACAAAGGGAAAGTATTTCATATTGTTTAAATTAATCTAAACCAATTAAGTATCAGGTTACCGCAGAATGTATGAAGCCAAAATATAATGTCTTACTGGACTTCTGGAAGAAGCCATTGTACATTTTCAAAAACACTATAAAAATTTAGTTAGTATCACTGTAAACATAATCATAAATTAAACAGTTAAAAGTTAACAGTTATAAGTAAAACATAATCATAAATTAACAGTTAAAGTTAATTAAAACCAAAAATAAGTATCTGGCTTTACCTTTATAACTTTCTGGTACATTTGCATCCAGTGTTCTCCTCGGTGAATCCAAAGGCTTCATGTCATGGACAGAAAGCTTTGGTGGTGGAATGGACGGATGAGATTCCGTTTCTAGAAATTTAACAAAAAGTTCTGAAAAAGACTAAGAAAAGACATTTGGTTTACATTAGGCAGATATTAAAATTGTATTCACTACCACTCAGAAAATATACTAACTACTCTAATTATTAAAAACTAATCATGTCATCTGAATCATTTTTTATAAATAAGCTTTATGAATAATTAAAAGTGCTAGCACTTTAGTTATATAGGTATCAAGTAAAACCTTTAACCTAGTCTTTGATGAGAACACTTTATAAACCTGTAGTCGAAATCAGCCACATGCTATAGTCATTTTAATAACTGTTTACACAGACATGAAAACTTGTATTAACAGAAAAGAAATATTAAACTTCTATTTTTCTAAAGTGACACTCAGCCAATGAATACCGCCAAAGCTCATGAGTAATTCGGTCAGATTAAAACACCATAGTACTGACCTTTCCTTTACATTTTATGCTATTCAATTTAAACTACTTAACTGTTAATTGTAATTAAAAAACTGAAAAAAATTTAAGAAAAATATAAACAATTAAATATGTTTCTGTAGTCAAATATATAAATTCTTTCAAATGATCAAAAACCATAAACTTTATGCCATTCGATTTAAAATAGGGTTTTGTTGTCAGCTACCTGTAAGTAAATCATGTGTCCTCAGTTTCCTCTTTATTAAAAAAATAAAGTAAAGAAACCCCACGTTCTACCTCACAGTGCTCCTCAATTCAGCGGGCACTCATCTGGAACCTACCGGAGACCCAGCGGGCACCGCTGCTCACAGCCGCCCACGGCCTCCACCCGCAGACTGGAAGCTCCCGGAGGGCAGGCGCTCTGCTGCCGCACCGCCCCCTCGCCCCCCCCCCCCCAGGACAGCTGGGTGCAAAGCAGACGCCTGCTGTACTCACTGGCTCAGTGACCAGGTAGATCCCTACACACATGAAATAAAACCTACGTCCTCAAGAATCTCATAATTTAGTAGTAAGACAGATGATTGTGTGCCTGTGGTATCAAACTCAAATACAAATAAAAATAGTTAATATTTTGAAAAACAGAAGTACTATGTAAATAAAAAGCTAAAAAACCCTATATTCAATAAACTTATTAAAGCTGCCTTATTATCCTTAAGCTAATTACGTTTCTGGATCTCAGTTTCCCAAACTCCAAGTAAACGGGCTGCATAAAATAACCCGAAAAGGAAATCTGGTGCTTTGCAAGTGAGTGCGTGCGGTGTACAGGCACCCCGCCAGTCCCACCCCACCGGTCCCACCCCGCCGGTCCCACCCTGCAGGTCCCACTCAGCAAAAACAGAAGCAGCCCTTACACTGTTGAACACGGTCTGCTGGTTTGGCCTCAGAGGCGTGTTGGGAACACTTTTGGATCCTCCTCCAAGCCACCCAGTCACCCATCTGGTAACGCCACCCTGATCTTCATTCAACAACTGAAAAGTTATTTCAAAACAGAAAAGTATTATCAGTACAAGAAAAGAAAAAATAAGAACCATTTTTACATGATTTCAGATGGTAGCAAAACATGCTTTTCAAGTCCAATTCCTAACAAACGATTCCTACTGACAGTGGCTACAAATACAGTGGAACGTCCCGAACACCATCTTGAACAAGAGTTGAGGACTGAAGCTCTCAAAATTTCAGCAGTGTGATAAACGAGGTGGAATGTAAGTTACAAAATATTTAATCTAATATCATATAAATTGAACAAGTCCACCCCTGTGCTGTAGTATGAAATGATTCCATTTTCACATTATTGAAAAAATTCTATCAGGAAAAGTTACACCACACACAGTGAAAAGGAATATGTCTGAGGCAAGTCTTCACTGTAAACGCATTTGGAGTGGCTCTCACTCCTCCATTACCTGCTCCAGTTCCTCTTTTTTGATGCCCAGGATGCTTCCCATTAATCGTAACACTTCGTGACGCTGATTTTTGGGTGTGTGGAAGTGTCCAATGAAGAGGTTTCTCATCAGGACTCTACAAAAGTGGAGGCAGACACAGCTCAAGCTTACTCAGCAGGCTACCCCAGTATTTAGGGTGCTGGAGTAATAAACACGAAACATATAAACACTTAATTATACAAAATAATAATTATAAAAGGCATGAAACAATAATGTATTTTGAAGTTACACTTAAAGTCTTACCATCTCTAATTAAGACTATTTCAAACAACCCGAAATGTATATGCCCGGAGCATCACCTACTGGCCACCAACTTCGACCTCATGACCAGCTGAGATGGTGACCATCAGTAATGCTCGGTGACTGTACTGGTATCGCCCTTAAAGGGACACTTTAGATTGTCCCCTCCCCACCTCAGGTGTAATGACAGTTTGTGTGCTTAATGGTTACGCTTGTATTTCCCCACTCACACTTACTTAAAACTTGCTAACAATATGGAAGTCTTTAAAATAGCAATGATATATATACATATATATATATATATATATATATATATATATATATATAATACATTTGAAATCTAGATCTAATACATTTGAGAAAAATATGCTTCTTTAAGGATAGTAAAGGGAAAAAAAGAATGGTAAGAATACACTTTTTATTTTACAAGGGTGGTGACATTTTAACTTTTCCATATGGTTTTAAGGAAAATAATTTGAGCTGGAAAACTATTTAAAAGCCAAGAGAAGAGAAGTTATTCTACTGACCCTTCATTAAAACTACCTACATCTTACCACTATGTAAGAAAAAGTCTTTAAAAAACCTAGTCATATATGAACATCTCCATGTACAGGTTTTTACCATAAAGTATCCTCATAAACTCTATGAAAGTCAGAAGGCAGAGCGTACTTGTCTACTTTTCCTTCTGTGCTGTTGACTAAGTTCATCAATTTCTTCTGTACATCATCCAGCATTTCTTGTCGGAGCTCGTCTGTTTTAAAACATATGAATGAAAATAGTCATTAACTGATTAAAATAGTCCGGATGAATATGTGATGAGATTTCAGACATCTTCACCGTGAATCTGAATATATGCACTTATTCCAATTACTTCCATCTCACCCCTTCTTAGGTTCAGTGAACTAGATTTGCTGGTATAGAAATCACTTGGAAGCCAGAGTATGCATTAATTCATATGGTTTAGCCCCAAGAAAGTAATCCATTTTTTAGCAGAAATTTTATAAACCCCCCAAAGTTTTTCATTCTCTTCAGAAACTTAATAGCAAACAAGAGATTTTCACCACTGCTTCCTTGCATGAAACATTTCCAGAGAAATGTTAAATGGGGAGCAACAGAAAGGACAATTTTAGATTCTCCTTTTCCCACTTTCCTGGCTGGACTCTGCTTTTCAATGAGCTAAGAAAAGCATCACAGCTAAGACCATGGCTTGGGACGTAGCTGAAATGGCAAATTCTCGGGTACATTGCAAAATACTATTTGTATCACTGATTCTAACATACTGATCAAGATACTGTAATTTAGGACTGATTCAGAAGGATGTTTGGACCATTTTAAAATTCATCCTCAAAAAGGAAGCAAAATCTGTAAAATCTTGGTGGAAGAGTCCAAATTTGAGCAATATTAAAAGCAAAGTCTAGAACGTCAACAGGAAATACCCTTTCCCCAAATTCAGCCACACCACAGGGCCAGGGGTTCCTAGTCAAAGGGGTGCTCAGCCAAGCCCGTGGAGCTCACACCCAGTACCTCAGACATGGGCGGCGTGACCTGGAGATGCTTATTAACTTCCAGATAGATCACAAATTTCATTCTGGAAGAAATGAAGAATGCTTTGCAGCAGGGCTCTATATTTGTAAATCAAGAAACACAGCTACACAAGACACTCTGACCTCTTTCCACAAACTTATTCTTTGATTTACGGTGCATTTCCTATAAATAGCTGGACATGAGTTCTCTTATCAGATATGACTTGCAAATATTTCCGCCCATTCTGTAGGCTGTCATTTCACTATTTAATTTTTTTTTTTAAGATTTTATTTATTTATCTTTAGAGGGGAAGGGAAGGAGAGAGGGAGAGAAACATCAATGTATGGTTGCCTTTCATGCGTCCCCTGCTGGGAACTGGCCTGCAGGGAACTGGTCTGCAACCCAGGAATGTGCCCTGACTGGGAATCGAACGGCGATTGTCTGGTTCGCAGGCCCGTGCTCAATCCACTGAGCTACACCAGCCAGGGCTTCATTTCACTATTTTAAAAAATATTTTATTTATTTTTAGAGGGGGGGGGAGAAAGAGAGGGAGAGAGCCATCGATGTGAGCGATAAGGCAACTGGCTGCCCCCTGCATGCCCTGCCGGCAACCCAGGCGTGTGCTCTGACCAGGATCAACCTGCAGTCTTTTGCTTTGCTGAACGACACCGAACCAACTGAGCCACACTGGTTGGGGCTCATTTCACCTTCTTGATGGTACCCTTGGAAGTACGAATGTTTTTAATTTTGTTGAAGTCCCAGTTTATTTTTTCTTTTGTCACTTGTGCTTTCAGTGTCACAGCTAAGAAACTGCTGCCTGACCCAACATCACCAAGATTTGTCCTGTGCTTTGTTCTAGAAGTTTACAGCTGTAGCCCTAAGACGTGCGTCTATGACCCACATGGTGTTGCCTTTCTGTGCACAGTGCGAGGCAGGGGCCCGACCGGGGCTTGTGCATGCGGATGGACGTCCAGTCGGCCCAGCTCTACATGGTGCCCTTGTTCAGAATCTACTGACTTATGGAGAAGCATGGTTTGTCCTGGATTTCCGAGTCCCACTGCAAGACTTCTATGAATGATTTTCCTTCTGCCTGAAAAGCTCTTGTCCACTGGCGCTGCCTATTAACTCCTAGTCCCCCTTCACGTCCCAGTTCCTAGGTCACTTCCTCCAAAAAGCTTCCTCTGATCCCCCCCCAGACTGAGCCAGGTCTGTTTGCTTTTTGTTTTCATGTTGTCTGTACAGTGGCTAAAATTCAACTTACATATAGTACCAAATATACTCTACACAAAAAGACCCAGTTTGGCTATGGGTCTTCTAAATTACAAAAATCTGAATTGCAAAACGTAATTCATATAATAGTCTAATTTACCAAAACAGAGATGGTTGCCATAACCATATTATAAAAGTGAGGTCTGTGTTCGGAAAATCTACTAGTTTCCCTTCCTGTCTTTCCAGTAAGAAATTTAAGCTTGGGCATTAAAAAAGGGGGTGGGAGGAGAACGAGAATATTATTAAAGCTGGAGTCAGTAGCAGACACTGTAGATCATCTGTGTGCGCGCGTGCGCACACACACACACACACACACACACACACACACACGCACACGGGGCGCTTTTCAGGCCCCTCCTAGCACTGCGTTCCAGATACAAACACAGCTCTCAGCCAGCTATCGGGGGAAATGGCAAGTAAGCGAAGCATTCCGAATCACCCACCCCACTCAGGGGCTCCAGGCAGGGCCGGAGCAACCAGGGGCCCCATCTTCGCTCTTTCTCCGCCCCACCCCCAGGCTGCGGAGAGGGAGCCGGGAGACGGAGGCTAAACTTTCCTGTTCTACCCTTCCCTTCCCTGAGATTTCCCTTCTCCTCTCTACTTTCTTCTAAAATTCGTGATTTTTATATTGATTATATATCAAAATGATAACATTCCTGACATACTGGGTTATATAAAGTATATTATTCGAGTTAATTTCACCTGCATCTTTTTACCTGTTTAGTGCGGTCACTAAGAAACTTAAAATGACACGTGACTTGCATTATGTTTGGAGGGCACGGCTTTGGAGCGCAACCAGGACATAACCATTCCACACACTGTCTTTTAAAAAGAAAAAACTGAATGACAGACACATTCAGAGTAAAATTCACAAAGCAAAGAGTTGATTCAAGTAAAATGAATCAGAAAGGTATGACTTTTTTTTATGAAAAACTGATCAAGAAATCTCTTTATAATAAAGTTTGTCAAGAATATATTCTTGATAAAAATTCATTAGTATGGTATAAACTTGATTAAAAACCTGTGTTCTGCCCTGGCCAGGGTGACTCAGGTGGTTAAAGCACTGTCCCATAAACCAGAGGGTTGCAGGTTCGATTCCCAGTCAGGACACAAGCTTGGGTTGTGTTTGGTCCCTAGTTGGGGTTCGTGCAAGAGGCAACTGATTGATGTTTCTCTCTCACGCTGATGTTTCCCTATGTCCTTTTTTCCCTTCTTTCTCTCTAAAACTACATAAACTAAAAACAAACCTCTGCATTCTGAAAGGTAGGGTCCAAACATCCGGAAGGCCAAAATATCAGGGCGAACATCCCTTAAACTCATTATCAGACCACAGTTGGTCCTGAGCTAATGTGATAGAGCGCTGGTCACTGCACGTCCTACAGGCGTGCACAGGGCTGTTTCAAGTGCAAGTAGTGTTTAATTGCATTCTGGTGTTTAAGTGTAGAAAAAACCCTCAGGGTCCAGGGGCAGAGGGTGGAAGGCTGACATTAAGTAGGAAAGGGTCAGAAAAGTCAGTCGAGTTCCTGCAGAGCTCCTTTCCAGGCACCGTTACTTCCCTCCTGTCAGAGACTCTGAACATTTCTCCACAAAACTGAACATTAATTCAAACCACAATTTGAAATCAGAACTGTATTTACACAGGCAGGGAAAAATACGGTTATTCAGAAATGGGTTTTTAGCCAAATACAATATCCCTGTGAAATAATCTAAGATGCCAAAAAAATACTTTGGAAGTTACGAAGAGAGAGAGAAGGCGGGGCGGGGGGACGGGGGCACACTGAAAGCTGAGCAACAACGCAGCTGAGGTTTCGTCGGGTCGAGGGGAAGAGTTACTCTGAAGACAGGACGTCCTAAAACCAGATCAGCCCCTGCTCCGCGGCACCCGGGGACGGCGCAGTGACCATCCTCACTTGATTCAAAATCCAAGAAACAGACCAGCATGTCATAATTTCATATTTTATGTGTGATTATTAACATTGCACTCTAACACTGTCTTCAGAAAAACTGTAAAGTTTGACTTACAAAGTCATGTGGCTATTTCATGACTATGCTCTCTTGTACTGGACTTAGTCAATTGCGACAGTTGCCTGACTCAGAAGAAAAGGGTGGTCGCAGCATGTTGGGAACTGCCCTGCCTGGTTTCAGGAGCTGTAACCCCACCCTCCCCATGGCTAAGGCTGAGTGAGCAACCTTCAGACCATAAGCCACTAAGGAGACAAAGCTTATCTCCTTGGCAGAAGGGCTGCTTCTGCTCCTTCATCCGTAACTGGCCCCCAGTGCCTGATCAGTTAGCCAATGATGGGTAAGATCCCCCCTTGGGGGGCTATGGAGAAAAGGGGTGATGGACCCTCACCCCTCAGCTTTGATGAAGCCTGAGTCCTCATTCTGTCTGTGAGAAGTCTCCTAATTCCTTGGCTATCTTGCCTCCTCTGCTGAAATTAAGCCTGAAACAATGACAGAGGGCAGTGCAGCCCTGTGCTGGAAAGGGCGGCTCCCCAGGTGATTAGGCCTGAGAAAGGATATGTAAAATCCTGTGAAGCCTGCTTTGCTAAGAATGCTCTTAATTAAATGATAAAGGCCTGAGCAGGAAATGAGTTTTGTTTCCCAAAGTTTTGTAGCCTTTTGGCTAATAGACCCTGACTCAGAATAAGACCTAGTAGTTCTTTGTGTGCTGTCTATCGTTTGATCCTTACTGCCTGACAATGATTAATGAGTTGTACCTGTACTCCTGCACAAAAAAAACCCACAATAAAAGCTTGTTTAGACAAGGGTGCATGCGCTCTCCCCTTGAGAAAGTGGCCTGCCCCTTTTCCTCCACAGGACTGGGTAGTCCGTGTGAACTTGTCTTGAATCCCATCCATAACGCCACGTACACTGCAGGCCGGTGCACGCGTCGGCAGCAGGACTCGAGTCAGAAGACCTGCGGAGGGACTGCGGCAGACGTGTAGGGAAAGCACG